GGGTTCAGCCAGTGGGATCAGGGCCGTGACAACTTAGCAGTCTGTACGTAGGCTGTAACCTGTCATTCTCATCTCTTGGTTGTTATGAAGGGGTGATGAATCACTTAGACTGCTTCCTGTTGAACGGGGGTGTCGTCTGGGGAACAAAGAGGTCAACAGGATGATGGCTCATGCGGATACAGAAGCTAGTGCCAGGTGCTGCAGCCAGGGCGAGAAGTTTACTGTTAGTGAAGGCTCACATCCGAGACTGGAGAAATCTTGTGTGGCACCTGAAGTCGTCTGGGCAAACCGTCCCACAGAATCTCAGCCTTCCCGTCACAGGTCGGAGGACCCTTGCTCCCTTCCTGAGGTCCTCTCCGTGTTCTCAGTATCAATAAAGGGTTTTCTTTTTTTTTTTTTCTTGTCTTCTAGGACAGCGTCTACAGGGTCTTACTACACAGATCGGACTCATAGTGATCCTCCTGTTTTCAGCCTCCCAAGCGCTGGGATTACAGCTGCGCACCATTATGCTCAGTCTCAATTGCCATCTCAGCCCGCCCCATGGGCGGGGCCAGCACAGCACACGGGACAGCAAACCCTGCCACCGTGCTCTTTAGTCCCCTGAGCTATCTGGCCAGACCTAAAACTTTGAAGATTTTTTTTTTCTGGCTCAGGCTGCTTTAATGGCAGGTCTCATGAGACATGTGGAGGTGGGGATCGAGCCATGGTCCCCCGCACCTGACTGACTGCACAAGCATGTGCTTTAATCAATCGAGCTAACCCGCAAGCCCCCTAAAGGCCTTTCTTTTTACCCCTCTGCTGCACCGAAAAACCTAAGGTTTGAGCCCAGGGCCTTCCCATTGAGCTGTATCCCTATTCCTTTTCCACTTTTATTTTGAGCTAGGGTCCTGCTAATTTGCTCAGTTCCCTGGATAGAATCTGAACTTGTGATCTCCCTGCCTCAGCCTCCTGAGTGCCAGGATTACAGGCAAGGTGGTACATTTTCTTGGTGGGGGGTCTTTTATGAGACAGGGTCTCGCTGTGCAGGTCAGTGTGGTGTTGAGCTCAATTTGTAGTCCAGGTTGGTCTCAACCTCGAATCCATCCTCCTGCCTCAGCCTCCCAAGTGCTGGGGTTACATACAGGTGAGAGCCACCACGCCCAGCCTAGTATGTTTTTTCACTCCAATTTATAGCTCACCGGATCTCAATGCCCCGCCCCACCCCAGGGCCCTGAGAGCTGGGAGAAGGCATTGTGCATCCAGGCAGCAGAGAATGGCGGCTGTCCCTGCCCAGCACCCCCGCCGCAGACTTCCTGCCCGCCCGTCTGCCTCCCAGGCCCGCTGGAATCCAGGCGCACCCTTGGCGGCGATCCTCCTCGCACTTCACGGTCTCCTGGGCAGAGTCGGGGAGGAAGTGAAGGCCCCAGCAACACCGCCGCATCCCCCAAGGGCTCTGTCCCTGTGGTTCTAGCAGCTCCACAGCTTGAACCCGCTCAGCACCCTCTCCCAGAACACCTGGATGGCCACTAACAGCCCTGACATTGGTGACCCCTTTTCCTGTCTCCAACCCAAGCCGAATCAACCCCAAGACCCACAGACCTGTTTTGTTTTTTTGAGACAGGGCCTTGCCGTGCAGCTCAAGCTGGCCTTGAGCTCATTTTGTAGTCCAGGCTGGTCTCAAACTTGCAACGATCCTCCTGCCTCGGCCTCCTGAGTTCTGGGATTAAAGGGGTGCACCACCATGCCCAGCTATGGACCTGTTTCCTATTTAAGTTTTTAGACAGGGTGTCCATAAGACGGCCGGGCTAGCCTCAAACTTGCCATCCCCCTGCCTCAGCTTCCCCGAGGGTGGGGATTACACACGTGAGCCACCAGATGAGGCAGGCACGGAGTGTCCTCAGGCTATGTGGGCACTCGCAGCGCTGGCCCAGCCAGGTGTAGAAGCGCGGGACCCACCCTCATTCTCTGGACAGTGGTGCTCAGACCCGAGTGTCTACCAAAGATACTGGAGGTGCTTACTAAGATCTGTCGCTGGCCCCCGCAGGGCTTCCGATCCGGTCGGTCTGGCCCCACCCACCCGTGCCTGTGTACCACATGCTGTGTGGGGCTGGGGGAAGCGCCAGCCAGCCCCTGCCCGGGCGCTCCTGCCGGGAGCTGTGCCCTGCAGCCCAGCGCCCTCCCAGGAGCACGCGATCTCCCGGGTTCCCGGGTTCCCAGCGGACGCCTCGCTGCAGGCGCACGACCACCTTGTTGGGACCCTCAGGCTGGAGGCCTCCCGGGAGCCGCTAGCGGAGGCTCTCATGGGCCCGGTGGCTGCAGGCTCCACTTTGGTCCCAGAGTCGGGGCAGGGGTCACCTTTTCCATCCCAGGAAGTTCTCCTGAGCACCATGGAAGGCTGCCAAGACGCACCAGTCTAGGAGGCAGTGCGCTGGGAATAAAAGCATGGTGGCCAACGCCGTAATCCTGGCGTTCTGAGTGGAGAGAAGAGGACGGAAAGTCCGAGCCTAGCCCGCCGCTGAGCAGCCTACTCTCCAGACAGCCGCGCTCTTGCCTCAGGGCTGCCCTGCTGCACCCCCTTCTCTCATTACGACCACGACCGCGTGTTCCTAGGACATGGCTAGAGCACAGGTCCTTGCTGCCTCCCTGGGGCACAGCTCCTCAACCCGCAGGACTTCCTGAGTGACAAAGGTGAAAAGCGCACCTTGTGCCATCCGCACAAAGCTCCTTTAAACACATCTGTGTTCACAGATAACAAAGTAACTTCTGGAAAGCCCCGGGTGGGTGGGTGCGTTGGGTGGGTGCGTTGGGTGGGTGCGTTGGGTGGGTGGGTGCGTCCTAGAGTCCACAGGGCCTGAGGGTGAGGCCGCCACACACACAAGGAGGGTCGCAGAGAGCTGCTGGGCCAGTGAGCAGGCAGGGAGTGCGGGGCGGGACTGCGGGGAGTGCTGGGAGTGCTGGGCGGGCTGGGGCCGGCCCTGGGCACTCCCTCTGCGCTGCTCCTGAGGGCACCCTCATAATGGACCAGCAGACACAGGCGTCCCCCAGCGCCCGCCACCGGCACACAGCTGGGCTCCAGGGCTCACAGCCTCTGACTTACAGCTGAGTGCTTAGGACTGTACAAGGCCCAAAGCTGGGGCTGACATCTCAGGTGTAGGCACCTTGTGGGACTGAGCCCTTTAGCTTGTAGGATCAGTAGACAGGGCCAGAATTGATGCTGTAAGAAGTGGCTGGTGTAGGAGAATCCAGGAGGACAGCCTGGGCTACAGAGTGAGTTCAAGGCCAGCCTGAACTACATAGTGAGATCCTGTCTCAAAAAGAAAAAAAAAGAAAAACTTCAAAAAGATAGAGGGGCCAGCCAAATAGCTCAGCAGACTGAAGTACCTGCAAGCAGCCACGGGGGCGGGGTTCTATCCCCAGGCCTGCTGGCTGGCCCTGCTCCTGGGGCACACTGAGATGCCAATCGAGACTGGGTGTGGTGGTGTGCACCCGTAATCCCAGCTGTTGGGAGGCTGTAAACGTGTGGATCACTACGAGTCCCATCTAGTAGTGAGACCTTGAACACCCTGTAGACCCTTCCCTAAAATACAAAAAAAAAATACCAAGAAAAAAAAAAAGTCCAAGCACTCTGAGAGGCTGAGGCAGGAGGATCCCAAGTTTGAGCCCAGCCTGAGAAATACAGCAATTTAGTGAGACTCTGGCACTAAACAGATGGAGGGATGAATGAGGGTTCTGGGGCCGGAGCTCAGTGTAAAGGCCCCATGTTCAACCTCAAATACAGAGAGGGGGGCAGCGAAAAGGAGAGGAGAGAAGCGAGCATTTGCTGGCTGAACAGGAGCCCAGAGCAGTGGCCCCACAGGCTGCTGGTCTTGTGGCAGTGGGAGCGGCAGCTGGGAGACAAAGGGGAAGCTGGGGCCACTCAGGCCGCCACCTTCAGGTCGGGGAGAGGGGGGCAGAAGTGAAAGCTGCGCTGCAGGGGTCAGCTTCCCTGGGCAGGGCCTGGGACAAGGACAGCTCCCCACGGCTGCTCTGTGCTGGCTGCTCGGAGCAGCAAAGAGCCGTGGTGGCGTGGGGCGAAGGCAGTGCCTGGGAGAGTACTGGTCAGAGGCTGCTGAGCTGAACCCACGGCTACCAGGGTCACACACACACACACACCCCTGAGGCCAGCCTCACGGCTTAGTGCCACTTCTAGTTCTTCCAAAGAATGACCCTACATTCTTGTGCCGGGCAAGGTGGTGCACGCCTGCAAGCCTAAGCACTCGGGAGACTGAGGCAGGATGACTGGAAGAGCTCCAGGCCGGCCTGCTTACACAGCAAGCCCTTGTCTCAGAAAGAGAAAAAAAAAAAAACAACTTCCTTAAATCCTCAGATTCCTGAGCTCTGCTGATTGCACTCAAGTTTTCAAAGCAGGAAAAGACAGAGGTGCCCTTGTCTGTCCCAAAGCACACAAAGGACAATCCTGCCGGGACATGTGTCTGCCGCCGGTGCCCGCCGGGTGGTTCCTCCTGCTGCCGCAGTCCCTGCCATCTACAGGAGGCCGAGATCCAGCCCCGTGCGCCCCTCCTAACGCTCACGTCCATGCTCGTGAAATCTGGTGAAGCACAAGGCTTCCTCTTGCCGGAGCTCAGGACGTTCAAAGGCTGCTTACTGATACTAGAATAAATGCACTGGCTCTGACTGCCCCTCCTTTCCTCCCTCTCCAGTAGCGATCAGCACACTGTATTTCTTACACACACACACACACACACACACACACACACGACTCATTAAGAGGAACTGCAAGGAGCCACATGTAGTGGCACATGCCTGTTGTCCTATCTACTCAGAAGGCTGAAGCGGGAGGATTCCTGGAGCCTGCGGGCTGGAGGCCAGCCTGGGGGACCTAGCTCAGAACAAAAAAGGACTCTCGGTTCTCCAGACCTTTCGCCCCTCCCCTCCTCCCCCCTGGGTGCTGGTGTCAGCAGAAGCTGGTGGGGAAGTGAGGCCTGAGGCAGAGGGCGGGAATGCAGGAAAGGGGAAGTCTGGAGGCCTCAGTGGAGACTGGCGGCCAGAGAAGCACGACAGCCTGGCGCCCAGGACCTGGTCATCACCCTACGTGCTCGCGTTGCCTGAGCTATGAGCCAGACCAGGGATTTGCAGGGTAGGGAGGTGGACAGCAGGAGGCTGAAGGGGACAAGGCCCTGGGCAGCCAGCGGGGCGGTGGGAGGGCCCCAAGGGTCAGCAGGGAGCCTGGGCCGGGCATGCAGCCAGGAGAGGTGAAGGCGGCCGCACTCTGTCCTAGGAGGGAAGGCTTTCGGGCTGCTGAAGGCCCAGCAGGAGGAGGGACTGGAGGAGATCAACCAGGTACTGCAGGGGAGGAGGCCGCGCCCGGGCTGGCCTGGTCCTGGCCCGGCAGCAGCGCCCACCTGGCTCTCACCTCCCTGACAGCAGTTCCTGGACGACCCCAAGTACAGCAGTGACGAGGACCTGCCCACCAAACTGGAAGCCTTCAAGAGTGAGGGGAAAGGGGTAGAGCGGGGCTGGGGCGGGGCACTGCCCCCACATCCACAGCAGGGCCTGGAGCCACACTTGGGGGACAGGAGCTGCCTTAGCCTCCCTCCCTGTCCCTGGCTGCCCCTCTTACCACCCCACTTTCCTCCACGTTGACAGGGCCCCCAGCCCCACTCGCTTCTTTGTCCAACTTCTCCCCACCTGGCCCCCTTCCTCCATCCCCTGCCCCAGCTATAGTGCATGCTAACTTTGCCTGCTCCCCTCGCTCAGGGAAATACATGGAGTTCGACCTGAATGGGAACGGAGACATCGGTGAGAAAGGCGAGACTGGGACAGCGGGGCCTGGGCTGCGGTGGGCTCTCTTGCCAGCCCCAGGCAGGAATGTGGCGGAGAGAGGACAGCCCCCTCTTCCTGTCTTCTGCCTCCAGATATCATGTCCCTGAAAAGGATGCTGGAGAAACTTGGGGTCCCCAAGACTCACCTAGAGCTAAAGAAATTAATTGGAGAGGTGTCCAGCAGCTCTGGGGAGACGTTCAGCTACCCTGACTTTCTCAGAATGATGCTGGGCAAGCGCTCTGCCATCCTGAAAATGTGAGCCCTGGCACCCCTCCTCTGCTCGTCTCCTCCACCCACCCCATGTGTGCTATTCAGAACCCCACTGCTCCTTCGAGGGGTTCTGCCCGGTCCTGGCCTTGGCCTCGGCCTCATCCCCACCCCACCCCAGCTGCTTGGCCCTGGGACTCTGCCCCCTCTTAGATGGGTTCCCTGTGGCTGTCTCCTAGGATCCTGATGTACGAGGAGAAAGCCAGAGAGCAGGAGAAGCCAACTGGTCCTCCGGCCAAGAAAGCTATCTCTGAGTTGCCCTAATTGCAAAGATCCAGCCAGCATGTGCACGTGTGTGTGTGTGTGTGTGTGTGTGTGTGAGAGAGAGAGAGAGAGAGAGAGAGAGAGAGAGAGAGAGAGAGAGAGAGAGCGCGCCTGGTGGGATTAAAGGGCTTCTAAGGACCCCAACATGGAAAAAAAAAAGACAAAATTGTGAGCCAGAGTTAGCTAAATTAAATAAATTTTCTTTCCCTTCCAGATGTCAACTTGGTTTTATTTGGAGGATTTGCCCCTAGATTTTGGAAGAAATGTTTTTTTTTAATTTTTATTTATGTGTGTGTGTGTGTGTGTCCAGCTCAGCCCACCAGGGGGCGGGGCTGGCCGGCATGTGGTGCTGGGGATCGAACCGCGGTCCCTGTGCTTTGATAAGCTTGTTCCAAGTAGGTGCCCCAGACCACTGAGCCATCTCACCAGCCCCGAAATGTCTTTGAGGGGAAAGCAGCTAAGATTTTCCCAATTAAACCATCCATCCCCAATTCTGTGTCTACAGCCGGTGGTTCCATGCACTAAGGTAGATTCTACAAGTATAAGACAATACCGATGTCAAGAAATTGAAGTAGGATTTTGTCTTTGTTTTGTTTGGGGTATTGAACCTAGGGCCTTTGCTCATAGCTTGATTTCCCACCCTTTTTATTTGCTATTTTGAGATAGAGTCTTGCTAAATTCCTGTATCGCCCAGGCTGGATTTAAACTTGTAATTCTACAGCCAGGCAGACACTGCGGCACACGTCGTAATCCCAGCACTCAGGAGGCAGAGGAAGGAGGATCACTGTGAGTTCAAGGCCCACTTGGACTACAAAGAAATTGAAGCCAGCTTCACCTGCATAGTGAGAGTGAAATCCTGCCTGAAAAAAGGCAAAAGAAAGAAAGACAGACAATCTTCAATCCCTCTGCCAGAGCTTCCCTGAATGTGAGGATTATACGCATGCACCATCATGTCTAGCTAGGAAGGAAATTTTTCTCTTATCACTACACCACCAAGTAGCTTTTCGTCTTTTTAAGTGAGGGTTTCATTATGCAGTTCAGGTTGGCCTTGAACACATCTTGCAGCCCAGGCTGGTAAAGTCACAGTGATCTGCCTCAGTCTCCCTGGTGCTGGGATTACAGGAATGTGCCACCACACCCCAGTAGCCTCTTTAAGCAGTAGAGATTCAGTTGAACCAACAGTCTCCAACCCAGTGAGCTTTCTGTTTTTAACAAATCGCTCAGAGTCTTTATTCCTCCTTCCTTTCTTTTTCGTCAGTGCTGCAGACCCATTTAGAGTCGCGCATATGTTGGGCAAGTGTTCTACTATGGTTACACCCCCAGCCCTTCTCTGAAGCTTTTATCTAAACTCATTTGGATGAAAGAACTGGAATCCAATGTAAGGCCTGACAACTTAAGAATTATATGATGGCATGGTGTGGTGACACACACCTGTAATCCCAGCACTCAGAAGGCAGAGGCAGGATTGGTCTCAGGGAGGTGAACCTAGCCTCAACTACAGAGCAAGATCTCGTCTCCCCCCTAAATAAATAAACCAAAAGATAAAGTAAGTAAAATAGTCATCGGGTGGTGTCAATGGGTAGATCTGATACTACCAGATGGGTTCTGGGGCAGCTTCCCAAGGACTGGAGCTTCAGCTCACCCCACTCATAGTTTGTTGATTCTTGTCACAGAAAAAATTCTCAGGTATACCAGTAGGGAGCAAAGACAAGACTTATTTAGCAGAAAAATGGCACACAGGGGAGTGCGGGGCTTAGGAGTGAGCAGTCAGACACCGAGCTGTGAAGCCTGGTTTGCAGGATGGGGAGCCAGGGTGTGACTCCTGGTGTCGCTCAGGTCCCCTGTTGGGGGCCCACCGGAGTGCAAACCATTTTCCCAGGTGGCAAGTTGAGATCTGCTGCCCACTCATCTGCAGCCTCCTTTCAGGATGGCCTGTGGCAAGAACAATTTACAGGTGCAAATCACTTGCCCACAGCCCAGTTTACAAGTGCGTTGCGTTTTGTTTATTGGGCAATGCTGGAGTGAATCTAGGGCCTTCACACTGAGCCACATTCCCAGTCCTTTATTTTTTTTCTCTTTTTATGAGACAGGGTCCTGCTATGTAGCTCAGGCTAGTCTTTTAACTGTGGCTCAAACTGGCCTCAAGTTTGTTGCAAGCCTATCTTGGCTTCTCAAGTACTGGGATTACAGGAGCATGCCATACCCCCATTTTTATTTTTGAGCCAGGGTCTTGCTAACTCACTAAACTGCCCAGGCTGAACTCAAACTTGCAATCCTCCTGCCTCAGCCTCCCAGAGTGCTGGCTCACCACTGTGCCCAGCGGCTTGTTTTGCCCATCTTTCTATTTAAAAATTTCGATTTGAGACAGGGTCCCACTATGTAGTTCAAACTGGCCTTGAACTCACTATGCAGCCCACTCACAATGCCTCCTACTTCAGCCTCCCAAGGGCTAGGATTACAGTCGAGTGCCACCATGCCCTGTGTTTACTGTGTAGTTAATGGACACTGGTAAGAGTCAGACAGATGTTTGTGTTTTCCCGGGAGGAAGAAAGGCTTGAAAAACTTTTGTGTCCTGAAACTAGCTTTTCTCAAAAGTACAATTTTAAAATCATGATCTCCCTTGTCTCCTTTCTACCTATCTTAATTTCTTATAACTCACGGAGAGCAGCTTTTAGAATCAAGTAGTAAAGGACAAAGAGGAGAAAATAGTACTTGCCTTTTGTAAAATGAAACCTCTTGTTGAAAGAATACAAATTGCCAATAATCTCAAATGTAAAAATCTACTCATAAAAATTACCGGTTAAGAAATTGAATGTCCGCTTAGTCACCGGTTGCCGGTGTCTTGAGAAAGATTATTCTGAGCCTATCTTTGTTCAAATTATTTGCATACATTATGCAAATAAGAGCTTGTCCAAAGAACGCCTGTGCTTCTCCGGACCCTCGGATTGGTCTCTCTAGTCACTTCATTTGTGTGACAAAATTTAACAAACGACAGGCCCCGCCTCCCCGGTGCCGTAACCCCTCGCGAAGGGACACGTGACCGTGGGCTCTTCCGGGGTCTAGGTGAACTCCACCCTCTGCTGAAGCCGCCGTGGGCCCACCGCGGCCCTTCCGTCTCCGCAGAAAACACCTCTGGCCTTGTATCTTTCTTCCACTGTCGGGCGTCCTTACGTCTTTCCACTCCCTTTTTCCACGGACGCACGACGTACGCCCCGCCTCTTACTCCCACTATTCCTCGTATAAATTGTGCGCCCCAACCACTCGGCCGACCGGCGTCGCATTCTCGCCCCCCTGTATACGTTTCAACGGCCGACGCCGGGAGCTATTCCCCTCAGCCAATCAGTGTCTTACCGTCTGTAACTCCCTCCTCTTTATGTAAATAACCCCTAAAAGCGCCGCACACTTTTTTAAAAAATAAGGACAGCCTTGGAAGTAAGGGGTGAGCTAGAAGGCCCCGCCCTTTATGTAAAGTAGGGGGCGTGCCCAGCCGCGGAGGGAGGCGGGAGTGGGGGGGCACTCCCGGGGGCGGCGGTTGCCCGGATGGGCCGTTAGTCGGAGCCTAGTCGCGGAGTGAGCGAGGGAGACGGGAGGAGCCGAACCCGGCGCCATCCGCCGCCATCCGCCCCCGCCCCACCGCCATCCCGCCCCGGGGAGCCGCTAAACCCGGGTCCCAGACCCTCGCGCACCCGGCCAGGTGAGTCTGGGCGAACTGAGTGCTGACGCCCTTTTCCAGCGCTGAGCGGCGGCGGCGGCGGCGGCGGTGGTGCGGTGGTGGCGGCGGCGGCGGCGGCGGCGGCGGCGGCGGGCCGGGGAGGGGGAGGAGAAGCTGCCATTAGTCGCCGCCATTTTGTCCTCCTGCTGCCGGCCTGCCCGCCCCTCCCCCTCCGGTACCTCTCCTTGGATGCCCGCACTGCCAGCCCCTCGCTCAGGGCTGTCGGTACCACCCACTGTTGTGGCTTCGGGGAGCGACCCCCGCTCCTCGGTCTGTAACGCCCCACCCTCCTCGGCGCTCCAGGACCCTCGCGGCCATCTGTCGGCCCGCGCCCTGGCGCCCTGGGGTGGGCCGCGCCCGCCGGACCTCCCTCCCCTTGGAGGGTTTCTTTGCCCGGTGCCGGGACCCCGCGCCCCGGTGTCCCTCCCGGGCTCCCCTCCGCGTCGAGGCCTCTGGACCGTGCATTATCCCGCATCCTTGCCTTCCACATTCTTCCTTGCCTTTTCCCACATTCATCGGTACCTTCTCTGCCGTTTCATGTTTCCATTCGCCTTGTCCCTTTTTCTTTCTTTCATTCCCCCCTTTTTGTGGTCGTGGGGCTTGAACCCAGGGCCTTGAGCTTGCCCTGCGAGCGCGCTGCCCCTGCGCTACCGCCCAGCCTCTCCCCGGTCTCCTGACGTTGCCTCCCTTCTCCTCGCACAGCCTTTCCTGGTTTCACGTACTGTTCCCATCTGCTTTCATGCTCTCGTCTTAGTCTGCTCGTTGCACGATTTTGTTATCTTTTTCTAAGCACGTTTCTTTTGCTAGATTGGTTTTCTTAAGTACCTACAAAGCAGTCCAGCAGTCCGTCCTCACATCTCCAGTCGTGAAGTTCTGCCTCCCAGCTTTGGGCTTCCATCCTGGGCCTGCCTGGTCTCTTCTCGCCATCTCCGGTCGCTTTCTTTTTACACTACGACCACCCACAAATGATAGCTGGTCATCATAGACTGTAGGGAGGGTGGAGGTCGGCCTGCTTGGGGAGCAGGGCCTGCTAGGCAAAGATGTGACTGCTCATGGAGGTTTTTAATGATAGGAAAATGAAAGTTAGTAGCTAGCCCATGGTTACAGGATGTTCTCCGGATAGCTCCGTGGGCCTTTGTTTTTCTTAGCTGTTTGCTTCTGGAGACAGGATTATTCCTAGGAGTCGTGATGGAGGCAAATGTAGGAAGAGATGGGGTCTGGAAAATACTTGGAGTTTTGTGGCCTGGACGCATGTACAGGCCCTGTTTGCGAGGATTTCCCTGACACCAGCTCCCAGTGTGGTGGAGAAAGCTCATAAAATCCTTGAACTCCCAACATACCTTCCTGCAAAACTCCCCAGATGAGACTTAGGGCTGCCAGGAAGGGAACTGGGGCCCAGGCCCCAGGGGCGTGATTAACGCACGGGTGTAATAAGTTGGTCTTCTATGATGGAGTTGTAGGCTTCGCTCTGGTTTTCTCTGGGGTTTGGACTTGCTCGTCCTGGTTTATTGTGGGCCTCTAAGATTATTTTGGCGAGGGGAGAATATTCTGGGAGTAATGAAGAGGCTGTTACCCTTTCTACATTGGCACAAATACAAGAGTGTTTACACTGGAAGGATATTAGGTTTTTACCCATTTATTTTTTCTTGACAAAAAGTGTCCGATGGAAAGAGGGAATGTGGCATTTGTATACTGAATAGATTGTCGTTGTTTAAGGAAGCCAGGAAAGTTTATATAGGCTGGGGGAAAGAACCCTGAAGGGCCATGAGTCGGGCCCCTGATGAGAGTGGGAGGGAGCTTGTGGGCTCCTGTTGGGGCTGTGGAGGCCGCGGAGACTCATGCTGCTGTCTGGCCCACAGGCTCCGGCACGTTTCGGGGGAGGTGCCTGCAGGACCCAACGTACTCAATGAGCTTCCAGCGCAATGTCCGATCGCTCGGGGCCGACTGCCAAGGGGAAGGATGGAAAGAAGTATTCCTCGCTCAACCTGTTTGATACGTATAAGGGCAAGTCCTTAGAGATCCAGAAACCTGCTGGTGAGGGCACTGCAAGATGTTTCTGATGTGGGGGAGGCTTGATGGGTGTCCACTGTAGAGCTCCGTGCAGGAGAGCAGCTGCTGTAGAGGCTGCCGGCCAGAGCAGCACCAGAGCCCTCCCACTCCTACCTGCAGGCTTCCCGCAGCTGGGGGGCTCTGGGGCGACCATGTACCTCCTACAAAGGCGTGTCTTGGTTCCTTGTCTTTGGACACGTAAGAATTGGAGGCAGAAACATTGTGGATTTGGTGACATCTGGGCCAGCCTGCTCCTTGCAGGCTCCAGATCAACCATCTCACATAAAAGCGACAAATGTAATAGATGTATACTTGGGCCTTTGCAGTAGGGATTTCCAGGATGGTTACAGAAGGGAAGGGTGGCTTCTGAAAACTTGGGAGTAAGTGGATAGTAGGTCATCGAGGATGTGTAAGTGGGTGTGGGGAGGGAGGCTGTTAGATCTCCTGTGTGAGGCGACTTTTGACCCTCTTTCCACCTTTCTTCAGTTGCCCCTCGCCATGGCCTACAGAGTCTCGGGAAAGTTGCCATTGCCCGGCGTATGCCACCCCCAGCCAACCTTCCAAGCCTGAAAGCTGAGAACAAAGGCAATGACCCCAATGTCTCACTAGTCCCGAAAGACGGAACAGGATGGGCAAGCAAACAGGAGCAGTCCGACCCCAAGAGGTAGACAGAGGCCTGGGAAACCTAGAGCCATCAGAAGTTTTACTTTGTACTTCAGGGTGAATGGGGCTTGGTCTGGCCCAGTCGCAAGCCTCTGTGTCAAGGTAGCGATAAAGAGGGAGGCTCCTTATGGCCCTACTCCAGGCTTCCTGTTAGATGACTGAGAAATGGCACTTTAGTTTTCCTTGAGGTTTGAGGGAGAACACGAAAAAACACGAAGCGTGGTCTTACGTTGGTGAACGTAGTGGTGGACCTGGGGTCAGGCCCTGCGTGCTGCCAGTTGGAGAATTAGGGCGGCACCTCACGTCCCCTTGTGACCGGTCCCATTCCGCACTTCCACAGTTCCGATGCCTCAACTGCTCAGCCGCCGGAGTTGCAGCCGCTGCCGGCTTCACAGACGCCTGCCCCCAGCCAAGTGAAGCGACCCCCAACAGCCCCCGAGGTACTTGGAGAGCTGGAGGGTCGGGGAGGGCGAGGGCAGCCCCTCCCACCTCACCATTTATTCTCTCTCCCCAGAACACTCCTTCGGCTCCAAGCGGGGTAAAGTCCTGGGCGCAGGCCAGCGTCACCCATGGAGCACACGGAGATGGTGAGCGCAGCTCTGTGAGCAGTCTGCGTTACGCTGGAGGCTGGGCTGCCCTGAGGGTCCCTGATCTGCTTTGGCTGAACCTAGGCCCCCACATTCAGTTCCACTCTGGGAGGGAGTCCCGGAATTGTCCTTTTCTCTTGGGGACTAGACTCTTTCACTCACTGCTGGGGTGAGTCTCAGCAGGGCCCTGCAGACTGTGCCTGTCAGCCTTGGTTTTTATGGCACGTCCCTGGGACGTGTGGCTGTCCCTTCTTCATCCTTGTTCCAACAGGTGGAAGGGCATCAAACCTACTGTCACGATTCTCTCGAGAGGAATTTCCGACCCTGCAGGCGGCTGGCGACCAGGACAAGGCTGCCAAGGAAAGGGAGTCTGCCGAGCAGTCGTCTGGGCCAGGACCAAGCCTCCGCCCCCAAAGTGAGTGGCTGCCTCGGATGCTGGCTGTCGCGTCTCAGAGGCCCTTGCAGTCACTTTCTCTTGTGCCTGAATCATTACTCTCTCCCTCTTTCCACTCTCTTTTCCAAAATACAGATTCTACAACCTGGAGGGACGGAGGTGGGCGTGGCCCTGATGAGCTGGAGGGCCCGGACTCCAAACTTCATCATGGTCACGATCCCCGGGGGGCACTGCAGCCTTCAGGCCCACCCCAGTTCCCTCCTTATCGCGGGATGATGCCGCCCTTCGTGAGTTTGGATGGTTTATCTTGGCATGGTTGCACCAGACGCTAACATAGCCAGCAAGACTTAGTATTTGGGGGAGGCGGGGTGCGGTTAAGAAGCAGACACCTGTGAGACAGGAGGAGGATGGGAGGGCATTAGCAAGGCAGAAGGCTGGCGGGCTGTGGGAGGGCCCTTCTAAACAGCTTTTGTTGGGCCATTTTGCAGATGTATCCCCCATATCTCCCGTTCCCTCCGCCCTATGGACCCCAGGGGCCTTACAGATACCCCACTCCTGATGGGCCCAGGTGAGCAATCTAGGTTTGGGTTTGTGGGTGGAAGCAGGAGAAGCCTACTGAGGGAGGAAATGGTTTAGCCAGGAGGCTCAGTTTTATATGTGGTTGTACAGCATGCCATCTTCTTTCTGTCCCCCACATATACAGCCGTTTCCCCCGTGTGGCAGGTCCTCGGGGCTCAGGGCCACCAATGCGCCTTGTAGAGCCTGTGGGTCGGCCTTCTATTCTAAAAGAGGATAATCTCAAAGAGTTTGACCAGTTGGACCAGGAGAATGATGACGGCTGGGCAGGTGAGTGGATACAGTTGGATCTTGAAAGGCAAAGTCCAGAGAAAGAAGTGGAAACTGCTTGTGGGAAAGGTGGCTGTTGGAAGGCAGGATAGATCTGTGGAGGAAACCAAGGCCCAGCGGGACAGGAGCAAGAATGACAGGCATAGCAGATCTGGACTGGTGCAGGAGGGGCATGCAGGGACACTGTTCTGTAGAGGGACATCCGGGACTCAGGGGCCAGAAGTGTGGGTCTCAGCTCCTGCTTTTTCCCTCAGGGGCCCATGAGGAGGTCGACTACACTGAAAAACTCAAGTTCAGCGATGAGGAAGATGGGCGAGACTCTGAGGAGGAGGGAGCTGAGGGCCGGTGCGTTGGGGCTGGGCAGAGGGCCTCATTGTCTTGTGGGGAGGGACAGGAGTGGGTTGGGGCTGAGCTTAATCCCACTGTTGATCTGTTCACAGCAAGGACTCCCAACCCGCTGCTGGTGAGGAACGGCCCCCTGAAGCAGATGGCAAAAAGGGCACCTCCCCTGGCAGCGAGCCGCCCCCTCCCAAGACGGCCTGGGCAGAGACCTCTCGGCCTCCAGAGACAGAGCTGGGGCCTCCTGCCCCAAAGCCTCCCCCACCCCCACCTCACCGGGGCCCCGCCGGGAACTGGGGCCCGCCTGGGGACTACCCAGTGAGTGTCTGCGTGAGGGGAGGGGGCCTCTAGTGGGAGGGGTAACTCAGGAGCAGAGGGAGGGCTAAGGTCCATGAACCTAGGGAGGGCTGTGTCCTGTGTCTGGAAAGCTTGGGAATGTCCTTCGTATTCAGGGAGTCTGGGATGAAAGTTGGGGTGCTGGTGAGGGTGAATAAGAAGACCTGGGGTCCCAAAGGAGGGAGGAAGAAGAGATGAGGATGAGCTCTGTCCCCCCGAGAGGCCATCACCCCAGGTCCAGTCCTTCCCCGCCTAGCTAGAGGCAGTGGCTGTTCTGTGGAGGACGTGGTAGAAAGCCTGGTGACTGATGGACCTGGCCTGCGGGGTTCTGCCCCTTACAGGACCGCGGGGCTCCGCCCTGCAAGCCGCCTGCACCCGAGGATGAGGATGAGGCCTGGCGCCAGCGTCGAAAGCAGTCTTCTTCTGAGATCTCCCTGGCTGTGGAGCGGGCCCGGCGGCGCCGTGAGGAGGAGGAGCGGCGCATGCAGGAGGAGCGCCGGGCTGCCTGTGCTGAGAAACTCAAGCGTCTGGATGAGAAGTTTGGGGCTCCTGACAAGCGGCTCAAGGCAGAGCCTGCCGTCCTGCCTGCTGCTGCTGCTGCTGCTGCTAGCACTGTCCCCCTCACACCACCTGCAGTTCCCAAGGAGCTCCCCACACCGCCAGCACCTGCCCCCACCCCG